AATTCTCAACAAAATCAAAAGTCAATATAAGTTCCTGCCCTTAATGCTCCAAATCTGGCTTAAATACATCATTTTGATAATAACCAACATTTATTGAACACTTATCATGTGTCTGGTACAATATTAGTCACCTAATATTCAATAGTTGTAATCCAGGATAAATATTATTTGTGAAATTTTATATATGAGGCTCACACATTTTAAGGGCTTGAACAAAGACATGCTCCCTATGGCCACCTAGAGCCTGCAAATAAGGACTCCTTACATTTTAATTCAATGCTTCCTCCATACTCACCAAGCTACCTATTTTGCTCTAAAATGATTTTACCTCTCTAATGATGACCTGATCCTTTGGGAGGTGGGGTGGTTATATGTACCATGATGACCTCTGTTACTCTCTGCTTGTTTTCAGGAGTTGCTGACTATGTACCTTTCAATCATGAGCATATCACAGCTAATTTCACCCAGTATTAAGGACGAAGTGAGTTCGGATTCTATTGAATATTTCCAAAGGATGGTTGAAATTCTATGGTCATATCATATTCCTGGTTTAAAAACAAAACAAAATGTGGAAACCATATGTAGAATAAATGATGATGCAAACTTCTCTAGAGTTGTACCATCTGTGACTCATGAAAACCAAATCTGGCTTCTCAAGGCAATGACTACCAGTCATCATTTAAACCTGGGGTGAGGGAGATGGAAGAGCCCAGGTGATATTTTTGGAGATCATTCGGACTTTCATATATATATGAATGATTGAGTTCAGAGAGAGAAAGGGAGAAGGATATAGAAATAGAAATGTCAATGAGAGAGAAATATCGAGACATTGATTGGCTGCCTCCTGCACGCCCCTACTGGGGATCCAGCCTGTAACCTGGGCATATGCTCTTACTGGGAATTGAACCATGACCTCCTGGTTCATGGACTGCTGCTCAACGACTGAGCCACACTGGCCAGGCCTGAGCTTCTTGATTAATTAATACACTCCTTTATTTACACAAATGAAATGATATATTTTAAAACTTCTATTATTGTTTCACATACCTTTTTTCTAATCACAAAGTATAAACATATGTATATACATACATAAATACATACATACATACATGAAATGGCAAGAATTACTTCATATGAGATGTCCAGATAGTTTAGAATGAAGCAAATTATATTAATGTCATAACTCTCCCCTTTCATTTCCAATATTTGTTCTGGCAAAATCTAGTTTAAAAGTTATATTTTTATATAATTTATATATAACTAGAGACTCAGTGCATGAAATTCATTCACTCAGGAGGGTGTCCCTCAGCCTAACCTGTGCCCTCTCACAGTCTGGGAGCCCATGGGGGCTCCCACTACAGCCGCTGAACTCACCAGCTTCTGGCTGGGCAGCACTCCTCCTATGGGAGCACACCACCAGGGCATAGCTCCTGCGTTGAGTATCTGCCCCCTGGTGGTCAGTGCACATCATAGCGACCAGTCGTTCCACCTTTCGGACGATTTGCATATTAGCCTTTTATTATATAGGATATACATTTAATATAAATGTAACTTGTATTTAATATTTAATATAAAAGTTAATACATTTTATACATTAAATGTAGATATACTGTATATCTATAATCTCACTTCATATCCTATATAATAAAAGGGTGAAGGACCCTCCCCCCAGTGTACAAATGTAGAGCACCTGGCCTCTAGTATAATATAAATAATTTTATATATTAAATGTAAATATATCTATAAGCCCATGATATGTGTTTATATGTGTATATATGAAAGCTTTCAAAGACAGTCAAAACCCTAATCTCTGCTGGTAGGAGTCAACACTGATAAGGATATGAAAATTTACATCACAAACACCTACTAGTAAAATGTACCCTAATTTTTACTCCAAAAAAACTATCCCAATTCTGAACGTTACATGAAGGGAAGAATCATAAGTGGACACATATACAAGAGTCAACATGATGGGACAATTAAGAGAATGGACCTTAGATATGCAGCCTCAATACACCTCTTAGTGCTAAACTCCAGACAAATGGCCTTGTCACAGGTCTCCCATACATCTAGATGCCCCCTAGCATCTCAGAGCAAGAATCTGTTTTCTGGTAACAGTCTGGTTCCCAGGAGAGAGATGTGAACTACACAGGCCCAGATCCCCATTCCCAATATATCTATAAGGTAAGTCACTATCCCCAAGAAAAAGGCCAGGATTGTACCAGAGAGCAATGAAGGAATCCTTAGGGAGTGGTGACTAGTACTCTCTCACAACATATCATAATGTTTATAACATGGAAAAAATGGAAACTATCTGTATGTCCAACAGGAAAGCAATGAATAGGTAAACCTTGGTGGAGCCCTATGACAAGGTACTTAAAAGTCACTAAAATTGCCCTAGCCAGTTTGGCTCAGAAGATAGAGCATCAGCCTGCAGACTGAAGGGTTCCAGGATCGATTCTGGTCAAGGGCACATGCAGGAGGCAGCTGATCAATGATACTCTTACATCATTGATGTTTCTATTACTCTCTCCCTCTCCCTTCCTCTTCGAAATCAATACAATTTTTTTAAAGTCACTAAAATTCATGTTGAAGATAAACATGTGCTAACATGGCAAGAGGACATAACATTATATAACATCATCCATGCCAGAGAGATATGTGTATCTCTGTGTGATGGAATATTGATGATTGACTTTGTTTGCTTCTGTTTTAGAAGTTATCTCCATTCAATACATAATCTTTGAGCAACTGGAAAATAGAGGAAAAAAATATTTTAAACCAAGGTTTTTTTTCTTATTTAACCATAAATTAGGCAATGAAAAGAATATGTGTTTGTATATGTGTGTGCGGGTGTAAGAGTCCTGCCCCCAATTTTTGTTCTAATGATAGAAATTAGAGGAGCAAGAGTGGCATGGGAGACAGTGAAGAAACGGAATCACAGGTTGATTTCATATATGAAAACCTTGATTTTGCTATGTGCCTAGTAATTAACTATGTGTTTATCTGTATCTAGGGATGAGGGAAAGGAGAGTAATATTGACCTGGGATCTACTATATCAAGTTGTAATTCCTCCTTGAGAATTTTCTTCATAAAATGTAGTCTGTGGTCATTATTGCATAAGGCTAATTAATGTCCAAGACAACATTCAATTGTTTCAATGACTATTATAAATACTTTCATGACCTCCACTGGCCAAGGCTGGTAAAGCCTAAATGTTCTTTAGAGGCGTGGTCAATTAGGTAAATTTGTGAAGAAGCAGAGGAAAGAGGAGGGAAGATTGCTATCAAATACTTTTGCTCATCTACAAATTATGTACTGCCCAACCAGTGTGGCTCAGTGGTTGAGCTTTGAACTATAAACCAGGAGGTTATGGTTCAATTTCTTGTCAGGGCACATGCCTAGGTTGTGGGCTCAATCCCCAATGTGGGGCATGAAGGAGGCAGCCGATCAATGATTCTCTTTCACCGTTGATGTTTCTATCTCTGTCTCTCTCCCTCTCCCTTTCTCTCTTAAGTCAATATTTTAAAAAATTGTACTTGCCTTTAACCAGATACATAAATTACATATAGCAGATACATGACTGAAAATAACACTGATAAGGAAGTTGAACTAAATACATGATTTCTTAGTCCTTTCCAATTTAGCACTTATAATCCCTTGAAATAGCAAAGAATTTTCTTCTAAATTGCAAATAGCTTCGTGATGAAGAATAATTCTGGCAAGAACATAAAAATGGAAAAAATAGAGAATGAAGCGTAACAAAATGTTTTAAAATTTTTGTTTTGAAAACACAGCCAAAATGATTTTTAAAGTGAACTTGACCAAACACATATAAAAATATATGCTAAAAAGACAATAATAAAAATGGTGTATCACTAATTTCAGATCAGTAAGAATGTGGGAATGGAAAAAATTACATGGGAATACAGTGTGTGTGTGTGTGTGTGTGTGTGTGTGTGTGTGTGTGTGTGTGTGTGTGTGTGTGTGTGTGTCTGTGCGCGCGCATGCGCATGTGCGCGAGCACCATTTACGCACATCAACAACCAGATCTGGCACTAGGCTACTGGATTCTGTTCTCTTTATTTTAAAATAAGAAAGATTAAAAACTGAGGTGCTAGAAATCTTTTATGCAGATGGAAAAAATAGAAACCCTAGGGGCATCCTAGAGAAGTGGTATAATGTAGTGAATCGTAAGGAACTGTGAAAAATAATATGAATGAAACCACTTTACAGTAAAATGAAGTTCGAGCTGAGATCTCAGATGAACGCCTTTAACTTCTTATTCCTCAAATCTTTGGAAGCTCAAAACCAGGCAAAACAACCTTTTGACTGGGCCAACAGCAGCACTGTATTTCAAACAAGTATTTGCAGTGATAACAGGAGAGCAGAGATTGTAACCACTGGCCTGAAATGTAAACGCATTCTTTATAACTAGCGTCACTGTGTTCGTTGATCCGCCCCTACAGAAAGTCCTTTTCTCTATTCATATAATTATTCCCCTTTCCTTTCTCATAAATACCCCTTGCCTTCACCTCCCAGTTAAAACACCATTTGGGTTTCCACCTACATTATCGCTTCCCCGAATTACCATTCTTTTTCGATCTCAAAGGTTTATGGCCTCTCACCTACCCTTTTTTATTTTTAGGTTAACGGAACCAAATTGCTATATGATCCAGGTTTTCTCAGCTTTGTACTCCCCAGAGAAAACACCCGCTCCTGCCGCCCTTATCTAGGAAAAGACCCCAGATTGGACGCGGATCCCAAAGCGACACCGGAAAGCCCTTCCGGACCAGCAGGAGCCGGAACCCAAGCGCAGGGGGTTGAGTTTCTTCCGCTTCCGCCGGGCCTCTTTGCGGAAGGACTGGCGCAAATGCAACTTCCTGCCGGACTGAGCTGTAAAAGCGAATCCCCGAGAGGAGGTAGAACTCCGCACTCTGGGTCAAGGTAACCTCCGTGGTCGCTGTGGAGAGCCCGGCGCGGCTGGACACGCGTAACCATGTGGCACCTGCTGGCCCGCGCTAGCGGGCCTCTCCTGCGAGCGCCTTTATCAGGTCAGACGTCCCCTGGATCGCACACACTGTCCCTTTTTCCACCCCATCCCTAGTCCGGTGTGTCTCAAACTCAAAGAAGGCCCTATGGTTGCTGAAACGAAGCGCTGGTCCGGTCTGCAGTTTGCTGCCGCCCTTCCTGCCTTAAGATTCGTGCAAAAGGGTCCCAGCCGCTATCGGGGTTGGCGCCGAGAGAGACCCTCCCCGCCCCGCCCCCGGCTGGTCTCTTTGGGCGCCTGAGCCCCATTTAGTGGAACTCGCGTCCCACCCTTCAAGATACCTCTGTCAGGAGTGTCTCTGGCCCTGGCCTTGTCGCTTTCCTGGTTTAATTTGATTTGTCTTTGTAGGTTCTTGGGCAGCCCCAGCCGCCAGTGCTGGCCTAAAGACGCTGCTCCCGGTGCCGACTTACGAGGGTGAGCGCTCATTTGTCATTTTCATGTTTGTAAGCCTTTTCTCTGCTGGAATCCAGCAGAGGGTAAGCGAAGACAAAGGAGTGTGTGCTATCTCCTTTCACTCGTTCAGTAAATATATATTGAGGGCATATTATATGCCAAACAGTGCTCTAAATACTAGAGAGAAATCAAAGAACAAGAGACTCCCAAAGGTCCCTGCTTTTATGGAGCAAATATATAATGGGATTGCTCTCCTATGGCCCATGGCCCACCCTCAGCTATGGCTGATCGGCCTCAAATTTAGACCTTTGATGTTCTCTCTAAATAAGATTATACCTATATGCTGTCACTTAACAAGATTATGTGAAAAGCATTCAATTGTTACATGTAAATATTTAAGGTGAGCCACAATTTTGTAAATCTAATTTACCATTTCTTTTTTAAAATATATTGGAAATCTCAAAAAATTAAAGAGGCCTGAACTTCTGAGAGCCTTATCTTTTACACATAAACTACTACATGTTCCAGAAGTATGTATGGACTTGTAGGCCAAAGAAAGCATTACTGTTTCTCTGTAGCTTCGTATAGAAACTTGGGGGTGAGGAGGTAGAGGAGACGGGACAGTTTTTGTGGCTCTTAATAGCCTATTAATAATTTGATATTTCATTGAAATCTCCTGTTTTATATTTGACTCCACTGTAGAGCTATGTTTGTTTTACTATAGAAATGTTTTAAATGACTTAAAAGTTAACTTTTTAAAAAATATATATTTTTATAGATTTCAGAAAGGAAGGGAGAGAAACATAAATGATGAGAGAATCAATGATTGGCTGCCTCCTGCACACCCCTATGGGGATCAAACCCACGACCCTGGGCATGTACCCTTGACCGGAATCAAACCCCGGACCCTTCAGTCTGCAGATGATCTATCCACTGAAGCCAAACCAGTTAAGGCCAAGTTAACTTTTTATTCCAAAACTAGAGGCCCAGTGCAACGGGACCCTATGCCTGGCTGGTGATCAGGGCCAATTGCCGCCTTTCTTTCTGTGCCGCCCCCTGGTGGTCAGGGCACGTCATAGCGAGCGAGCAAACTCCCAAGGAGACCCTTTGCATATTAGCCTTTTATATATCTAGACAGACATGATAAAGATGTAGTGTATGTTGACCTGCATTTTAGCACACCCACTCTCATCCAGCAAGCTGTTGCATATTGTGAGTATATGCAAGTCTCGTCATTAAAAGCCCCTGCCTAAGGAAAGAGCACTAATCACAGAAGTCTTAGATTGTTAGTTCCCCAAGAATGTAGCAGAGCAGGAAAACTTGGATATTTTCATGTACACTATAGAATTCTACTACCCCCATTAACATCCAGAGAAGTAGTGTAGTTTTCACTTCTTTAAGTGTCATACTATCTGGCTTTGCTGTTTTAACTGGATTACCGGGACTAAATATGAAATGTCTGTAGGCCTCAAGTTCCTCTTCTCTAAAATGGAAATTGAAAATACTACCTGCCTCATATACTGTTTCTTGGTCTGGATGATGTTTATTTGGGTATGTTTATGCATTCTTTTTATGATAATTCACTGATCAGTGGGGGTTTTTTATTTGGCCCTTTGACATATATGTGTAAAATTTTTAAAAGTTTTAAAAGCCCTACAAAATACCAAGGCTATAACGTTATTTTAAGAGATTGAGATAATAAGTGTAAAATATTCATCTGAATTCCAGCGCTAAATAAAAAATTTAAAAAAATATTGGCTAGTGTTATTTCTGTGAGTCTTGCATCTCTATACTGTCTCAAATGGTCCCTTTTAGAGTGTTAGGCACAGAATAGTCATTTAACTCATGATTTTGGTTTGAAAGCTAAAACTGCTACCTTTAAAAGTTTTAAAACATTCACATTGATCATTGTCATAGCCAAAGAATTCCAATGTTAACAAGAAAAACCTAACATACTTTAGAACTATTGTTCCAAGGTAACTTTTATTTAAGACTTTCTCCTGATTGCTAAAAATTTTTCTAGGAAGAAAATTAATCCTTTGAGATGTATAGTCACTTATTCTTAATCATCCATGTTCCTTGTAGGTGTTTCCATTCCTGAAAGGCCCAAGCTTAAATTTGTTGAAAGGATGCCACTTGTGCCAAAAGTTCGAAGAGAACCTAAAAACTTGCGTGACATACGAGGACCTTCAACTGAAGGTACTGAGTTCACAGACGGCAATTTTGCAATCTTGGTGAGTTCAGTGGCAAGCAGCTCCAGGGTGGAAGTCAGGGATTAACATAATCTCATACTCTTTGAATCTCTTCCTTCACAGGTTTTATTAAAACTGCCACCAGTTGTTCTTTAAACTGATGTGCAATACCCAGTAAATATTTGAATTATGTATGGGTGTTATTTACTTTTGTTTTTTATGTAGAGCGAAAATAATGTAAAAGCAGGGGGGTGGAAAGAGGCTACCTAATAATCAGAGCATGAGATCTTTGCAGGCCTCTGGAAAAATAAAACTATCCACTATTAGGGTGTGAGACTGCTGTTTCCTTACTCACTGAGTAGCTTCCATGAAGACTTGATGTCAGAGCAGCAAAAATGGATGTGAACTAGGCTTTATTTCCCACCAGGCAGCCAAAGTGATGTTTTAACGTCCTCTTCACATAACCCCAAGATCAGGCCCTGACTACATCTCAGACCCTCATGTCCACTCTCACCTGCCCATTCCTCACTACTCCAGCCTCTCTCTGGCTTCTCAAACTTCAAGCCTTCACCTACACCATTCTCTGCCTGGAATTCTGGTCTCTTTTCCTTTGGTTAATTCTTACTGTTGTGGCCTCAGCTTTAAATGTCTCCTCCTCAAAGAAGCCTTTCCTGGCTACACATTGAAGTAAGTCCTTGTTCTCATTTCTTACTAGGTCCTAGGCTTTTTGTGGCACTTGTTAGAACTCTTATTTTCATTTGTATGTTGAAGCCACAGTTGCTATAAAAGAAGACATAAGAATAGAGTCCATTAAATCCCTATGTGCTTCTAATTTTCCCATTCACTTTTAGGCACTGGGTGGTGGTTACCTCCACTGGGGCCATTTTGAAATGATGCGCCTGACAATCAACCGCTCCATGGACGCCAAGAACATGTTTGCCTTATGGCGAGTACCAGCACCTTTCAAGCCTGTCACCCGCAAGGGTATGGGACAGCGAATGGGGGGTGGCAAAGGCGCCATTGATCACTATGTGACTCCTGTGAAGACTGGCCGCCTCATAGTAGAGGTGGGCGGACGCTGTGAATTCAAAGAGGTAGAAGGTTTCCTCAGCCAGGTAGCCCACAAGTTGCCCTTCCCAGCAAAGGCTGTGAGCCGTGAAACCCTAGAAAAGATGCGGAAAGATCAAGAGGAACGAGAGCGTAACAACCAAAACCCCTGGACCTTTGAGCGCATAGCCACTGCCAACATGCTAGGGATACGGAAATATCTGAGCCCATATGACCTGACCCAGAAGGGGAGATACTGGGGCAAATTCTACCTGCCTGAACGTGTGTAATGAGAATATGAGAAATAAATGTTCAGAGAGAAGGAATCTACATTTTTGTTCCCCTCAGTTACCTTGAAGTCTGGGAAGCTCTGATGTTATAATCAAGGAGCCACATATGAGAGTTATAGATGAAAGTGCATTATATTTGTATTAAATAAAATTTCAGTATCACCTCTGGTTATAACTTTTCATTGGTCACTCTTAATCCCGTAAATGATTAAGAAACAGGCCTGATGGACTTGGGAGCTCTGGTCCTCCCCGGCCATATGGTGAACATTCTTCAGGACTAACGCAGGTGTTTGCATCTCTCACCTCTGATGCAAGTCAGACTTGCATCAGAGGTGAGAGATGCAAACTTCAGGAGCTGGTTTCTAAGATCTTTTACTAGTTATATATACAAACATTTTTAGAAAAGCAAAGAAATAAAATGACAGTGTATGGGTTAATTCAACAGATATTTACTCCCGCCTAGCTATCCATCTTCTCTTCTTGGGGGTTGGGAGCAGTTACTGGGAATACACCCTTGCCTTTTAGCAAAAGGAACTGAAAAACAAAAGTTAGAATTGTGTGGTCTTTCCTAGGTCTGAAATTGTTTGAGGAAGAGTATCTGACTCTATCTTTGTATCCCTGCAGGTTCTAGTACAGTGCAATGTGCCACACAGGATTTGGATAGTTATTGCTGGATAAATAAGGGCCCCATGCTTCCAACTCCCTATTTGCCTTTGCCAAGATTAATCGGTTTTTCAGGACTAGCCACCAGTAGCTCTCTATCCATTGTTCACGCTAGAGGAAATACAAACTGATAGAAACATTAAGCCATTTGCTTTTGAAAATGGGTAGAAAAGCACACTGATTAAAATGTCAAATATTTTTATCTCACTTACTTAAAAAGTTAACATCTTCCACAAAGAAAATAATTTACTTTCAAAAGTACAAATTTAACTCAACAGTTGTATGGTCCTTAAAAGTTGTATGCTATTTTTAATGTATTTTTTAGTTAATCACTTGAAATATAAATTGCATAGAAATGTGAATCTTGAATTGGGGACAGTGTCTGGAACATTTTCTTGTACACTCATTGCTGGCCAATAACAAAGTCAGTTTCAGTTAGCAATGTGAATTAGGTAAGAAGGAAGTGAGTGATAGCCACACTTCACCTTTCTGACCTAACATCTTCATCTCCTTTTTTAGGATTCATAGAGTACACTATTGATAACTGTTAGGAGTTCAACCAAAGTATGAACCTGTTTTGTTTTGGATCCATGTTCAGTTATTAAACCACAATCCTTGGGAACCAACCATCTTAGCAGGGTGAGACTGTTGATGGCTCCACCATCCACAGGTAAAAGACTTTACAGTATAATTTGTAAGGGGGATCCTGTTTTGTTTTTACATAAGTAGATCAACCCACTCCAGGCATTTTATGGAGCCTCTAATACTAACAAACCATTTTCCATTAATGCCTTAAATGTTTAAGAGTCAAATCCAAAGACATGAATAGAAACCAGAGCTTAAATGGCAGGCACTGTGCTAACACTGAGGACAGCAGTGAACAAGACATGTCTGGTGCCTATCATTAGGCACTTCACTTTAAAGACTAGAGGGCCCTGAAGAAGGAAGCGAGCGGGTGTAGGGTTGGTCAAAGGTGAGACATAGAAGAACCTGAAGAGCAGATGTAAAAAGTGCCCAAGCCTGATCAGTTGATCCTGATGATCTGGGTTTGCTACAATATCTGCCTTTATTTCCCGTTTCCCTGCAGTCCATTCCTTCAAACCTGCTAAGTATTTCTGGACTCCTTGTTACTTCACCACTGCTCGCTGCCTAACTCTGTATTGTCATAATGGCCTCCCTTTGCATAACTTTCAGTAGGTATTTTACTGGTGTCCTATGTCATAAGAGGTTTTATAATGAAAAGAGGAGTCACTGTTGAGGAATCCTTAGTGAGAAATGATGGCACCACAGAGGTGGACGGAGGATTAAAAATGCCAGTTGAGGATCCATCTGTAAGGGCTGAAGGAGATAAGAGTGGAAGGGGAAAATAAAAGATTAGACAGCAAGTTGTTCAAGGTCAGGATCACCAATCCCTTTTCTGCAGGGGGAATGGGCTACTCACAAGGCTATGTTAATATGTCCTAATCTTCTAAAGGAGAAAATTTATTTACATCAGGTTTACTATGTGGCCCTTTACCAAAGAGTTTAGGGCACTTCTAATACAAGAATTGATTCTTTATCCTTTGGCCATTCCTAGGTGGCAAGGCCAACATTTTGCTGCAGTAGACCAGCACCCTCATAGAAAGCATTCTACCAGACCCAATTGCCACCTTTGTCTCCCTATCTACCTACTACCAATGCATCCTCACTCAATTTTTCTCACTATGAAGCATCTCTCTCAGCTTTCTCCAACCTTCATCTATTCTAACACCTAATCCCACCCAGACTTTGGTGACAAACAAGGAATGCCCTTAGGACACACCCATTTCAAGTGAAAGCAGGCCTGACCCTCCCCACAGATGGCTCACCTTTTTCAGGCAAATATGCCCCCAATGGTAGAAGCTAAGATGATCGCAAGAATGATACAGCAGATCATGATCATGATCTTCTTCTGCTCATCCAGACGAAGAGAGAAAAAGCACATGAGAAACAACATCACTGTGCAGACAGAATTCCCACAGAACGGAGACAACGTGGATCAGGGCATGGAAGGGGATATGAAGGGAAGGGGAGATGGATCTGGCTTCCAGAACCCAGAGTGTAGGAATATTCCCTCTAAGTGAGAGATTCCAAATTCAGTCAACTATCTTGGATGATAGCTGTTTACTAGTAGTATGTTCTGTCAGGAACATACTACTAGTAAACTTACCCCATTTCCTCCAGGAGCCACTATGCTCAATGAGTGGGTCAAACTCTTTGGGGAGAGCACCTCAACTCTGAAACTCAAATACAATTACATTGCACTCTTTGAGAGTTGAACCATTTTCAAAAATTAGAACTTCAGATCTATCTTACCCAACACGTTTAAAATATATACCCCATTCCTAAACTCACCACATGGTGGCGCCCAATCACTATTTTGCAGGGAAATTGAGACAGAACTGATTTCACAATCAATATAAAGTCATTTATTTTTAAATAGCAATAAAATAATCAAGTGTACTTCTTAAAAAATACAAACAACAACAAAAACCTTCACTTATATTGTATTCCAAACTATAAGCCCCAGATCTCAATCTTAGGTGAGCAAAAGCCTGTGATTAGAGCTTGTCTGGCCTTGCTGCTAGAGCCAGTCCACTGTCAACTTCATAGCCATAGGCAAGAGGCATCCCCTTGGCTCTGTCTGAGTGCTGGATGATGACTGGAAGTAGATTTTGCAAAGGAAACCAATGGGCAGTGCCTGGATGAGGGTGCTTGCCATGCCCTAGAAAGCATTAAAATCAATACTAAAGTATAAATCAGGCTGGCAGAGACCCCCAGGGAATCTAAGAGGCTCAAAACTAGGCCAGCACAGTCATGACTTGAAAATTTCCCAGGTATTGCTTCCTCACTGATGAGATTATGGGAGACAAAGCACCTGTCAAGCTTATTAACCTGATAGAAGAGCTACTCGTAGTTCCTGGTGTCCCTCAACTCGGCCCTGAAGACAGGACATCCCAGAGGTCACACAAGTTATATCAAGTTGCTATGGGGTAAGCCTAGCCTAGGCAGCAGACAGTGAAAGGTTTCAAAACTTCCCACATATCTGCTAAGCAGAAAAAATTTAATGGAGATCAACTTAGTCCTCACCCCAAAGACCTACGCTTCTCCCAGTCATCATCCAGAGCCAGCAGGCTTCTCCATGACATGGGAAGATCCTGCTTCTATGACTCATTTGCAGGTAAGCAATGTCTCTAACCTAATTTTTGGCCTAACTCGAGGTTGTTGGGTTTTGTTTACTTATTTTTGGAGTGGTATGTGTGTTGTGTATGTGTATGTGTTTTGTTTGTTTTTTGAGGCTATATCCTCCACTTCTAGCTTCCTATTTCATGAGAGACACATGAAGAGCTATATACATTAGCCAATTATAAAAATTTACCTGGAACAAATGAAATGAGTGACGGAATGCTGGCACCAGTCTGAAATATTTCCAGAGCCAAAGACTCAAGCACCTTGTCCCTGGCTCAATGTTAAGTGCCAAACATTTTTTTAAGTAAAAAATATTTGACTTTAAGGCAGTGGCTTTACAAAGCATCGCCCTTAATTAGTGGGCAACAAGTTTCCAAGACTCAGCCATGAAAACAAATATCCCATATCCTCAGCCTACATAAATGATAACCTCAGATGACTGCATCAACTGACGCCACCTACAGTAAACATGAGAGAATACAACAGACAAATATCGAAGTTGGCCACTAACCTAAATATATAAAGAGCTTCATTTAAGGCTGAATTTCAAACAAGTCAGCTCTCAGACCAAAATGATATCTGCCAATCCCTCATATTTTCAGGACACATGGACAATAAACTGAAAACTGGGACCCTGCCAGGTAGAAGACTCAAGTCCAAACCTACTGTTGAAAGAATCCCTTTGCTTTGTTAAAGAAACCCTCCTAAGAAAGATGCAATGCAATTTCTGGGAGAATAATAAAAGTCCATGAGGTAGAAAATACAGCACCTTGGGAAGGTTTTGAATAATTGGCTTTCCAAGGTGCAAAGCAAAAATTTGACATAGTAGAAGGGAGAAAGAGAAGCCAGGCTGGTTCAGACTCTGCAGGTTTGAGGAAAACTTGGGGTTGCATCAGGTAGATTAGACTCCTCCAGGGCTAGATGGTTTGCTGGGTCAGGTCCAAGTACGGTTACAGGAAACAAAGAAATGGGTCCCATCCTCTTTCAGGAAGGCCAAACTCCATTCTCATCTGAAGACAAGGTGGCCACGCCATGCTGGAGTAGAATCGGGCTCTAGGGGAGGTAGGGGAAGGAGGATCAGTGCACAGGATGATGTTGAAGGGCAACATTAAGAATCAGCCAAAACCTAGAAGGTGGAGAGGAAAGATCAGAAATACCTGAAAAAGGGAGAATAATGGGAAAGTCAATGCTAAACCTGAGAAATCCAATAGACACACCAAGACGGGACCTGAAATGAAAAATCCCACTGTATAAGAGAGGGGAAGTTTTTTAAATCTCTGGCCCTTTCTCTAATTCTTCACACAGGCTGTCACATACCCATGGAAGGACTCGTCAGTGGGGAGGCACAATCACATGTTGGAAACACCTATTCTACTGTGGGGCCAACATCAGTGGCTTTCAAACACATGCTTCAGAAATTTTCTGGGACTCCAGTCTTCTCTATGACTCCCCTTATGCTCTACTTCTCTTAGAGGACAGAAAAACAGTGAAAAGAATATGAAAAAGCTCAGGGCTTATATTATGGCTACTCTGCTTTATGTGTGGATCTGGGCAAGTTTCTTAGCTTATTGAGCTTCAAAGAACTTTCCCATCTGAAAATTGGGTAATGTTCTTCTCCTAGACAGGAGAATAATAGCTGCCACAACTAGGAAAGAGAAATGTAACTTGTCTTCCTTCTCTCCTGTTCAGAGAACTCTCTTCCTCGGATCACATGGGAGGCAGAGGGGAGGCCTAGTGAACGATCGATCCTGATTTTATTAGGGAATGTGCCTGGAACTTATATTATCAATTGAAAACAATATATCTATTAGTTTTGTTTAAAAATAATTCATTTACATTTTGAATTCCTGGAATTAGGGATGGTAAGAGGCATTATGAATTTGCAAGACATCTTTCATCCAAGGATATTGCAAGATATGCCTTTGCTTAGTTTTAACATCCTTTCCAATGATATAGTTAAGAGTCAGAGCAAAACTTGAACTTTAAAAGCTAACAGAAACAATGGCTAGACTGCAAATTGCAGGGAGTGGGGGGGAATCAATTAATTACTTAAGAGATGTTGATCACCTTACTGCTGCTTCTCTCTCCAGAGGAAGGCAAATGTTTAGATCTTTAACAATCTGACTTTCAGACCCTCTAGTTACAAGGAAGGAGGAGGCAAGAAATATAAAGTGAAGGGTTGCCTCTGGATATAAGAATGGTAGTATGTATCAAGTCTTAAAAATACTTCTATTACCCTCAGGAACCCAACTTCTATGAATTTATAATATAATATAGAGAAAATAGAAGTGAGAAAACTATTACATAAGTTAGTCATAATGTTAGTAATAGCAAAACAATGACAAACCTCCAACACTGGAGAAATGTAACATAATTGAGAGTATAGTCACAATCTTGTGTTGAAAATCAGATTTACAAAGAGATATTAGTGGAATGATGCATAAAATTTTGTAACTGGGTACAAAATGATAGGTAATATAGTCAGAACTACATCTGAATGTGTAAATATGTCACAAGGCTTTCAACAACATTGAATGTTAATTCTGTCCACCTTTTCTGCACTTTATAGATATTAAACAAAAATACTATATTTTATTCAGGAAAGTAATATTCAAGAAGTCACTGACTTAACAGTCTTAAGTTTTAACAGTCCCACTAACTAGATCATTCCTATATGCTACCACTATATACATGAAACCTTGATTCTGGGGTCAGCCTTATTCTTTTTACCAGATTTTAAAGAAATTAATAGGCTAAATGTTAAAGTCACTATCAAGTAGGGTTCTCTAAACTTTGTAGACAATGATAAATAGCTACCTTGATGTACAAAGAGAAACTAAGATGTCAACAAGGACTCTCCTAGGTCCACTATTAGCTGTATGTTCAAGTTTGGTTGTGTTACTTTTCTCTTTAAGCCAAAGTGTCTTTGTCTGTAAAATGTGGGTCATAATGGCACCTATCTTATAAGGTGTTGTGAGGAGTCAATGTTTTGTATATATGGTGTTCAGTACATTCTCTGGCACAATTCAACATTCAAAAGTGTTAACTACTACATCATTCACGATCCAACCAGTCAGCCACAAAACAAACCTCTAGAGACCCCATTCCCAATCCAAAACTTCATTTACACTAAGAAGAAGATGAAAAAGTAATGCCCAACATCCATGAAAACCAGTAAGAATTCAGAAGACAAAGCCCAGATCCAAAACACAGATTGTACCCAGAACAGGAGCATGCTTGCTGGGTGAGGGAAGTGGGAATGAAGTGCTCGGAGAGGCCAGGAATGGCAGTGAAACATGAACAAGTGAAGAGTAGAGACAACCAGGAGACCCAACCCACCGACTGCAGCCAGAACCCAAGAACAGAGTTTTAAAGAGATGAGAGAATGTACAGACAACTGAAAGTTTTAGTGAGCCCAAGGACAATCACAAGGCGGAAGGAGTGGAATTTAAAATCCCACGCTAATTTGTCAAGAGGAAGCCAAAAAGGAGACCCGAGAACCTTCCATTTACTTACATTTCAGTGCAGCAGCCTCTTGGGCCGCCCTTATTTCAGCCCAACGGAAAGTCCAATAATCAACGCTAAAATGCCCAGCAACACAACTACTACCACAATGATAATTATCAACTTCTGGAAAGGGATAAGAGAAACAAAAACAAGGCATTATTACACACAGCCAAAAGCAATAATAATTCATCTAAAACCCAACCCCTCTCACCTCAACATCGAAAGCATCTTAGCAATTCAAATAAATAAGCCTACACCCTATATGAAGACATTCCATTAGGATATTTTATACTTGTCAGATTAGTTCTTGACTAGCCATATATTCCCTATGGAAACACAGAGTTTCTATCAGCTCTCAGCTCACACTGCTGTCCTGCCCATGTGGACAGACATAAAAGCAACTATCATGGAGTTGCCACGCAGTAATAGGCCAAGATATAAAGTGATTCATCTTTCCTCTTCAAGAAGGGGTGCAACGTTATTTTTGATACAGTCCTAATGTCAAACTCTGTCCATCTCCTCCCTAAAGCACATGCCCACCTAACAGCCCCAGTGACTAGGCATCCAAAAGTAAGAGTATGGTCCTGTTGTGAACCATTCTGGATTCATCATGTAAAATAACTCCCCAGTTTCCCAAATCCCTGTGCAAGCAACAGGTGAAGTGAGAAAACAAGGAACTGAAGAACATAAATATCAGAGCCCATGAGGAACAGGAAAGAAATGTCTAAAGAGCAAGCAAAAGCCACAGAGCTGGCCACCAGTCAATGGGCAGAGAAGCCATAAGGCCTCTAGCACCGGGGCACCAGAAGGAAGGGGTGGAGAGATAGAATGGTGTGGTGGGAAGAGCATGATTAGGATCTGAATCTGAATCCCAGCTCCTATGCTGACTAGTTGGCCTGAAGCTAATTCGCCTCTGACCCTCCTGTCATCTATGAAGTAGGACTAAGAGGTGCTCCATAAGATATACCATGTTCATAACAATCAGCACAGAACTGATTTCCTGGTAAAGAAAGGGTTGGGGATAGGGGGATCTTCGGCTGCTTGAGGGGAAGAGAAGGTTTCAGAGGAACCTTCAGAGGAGTCAAGTGAAACATCGTCCAGGAGCAACACCCGGGCAATCGCTCCATCCTACAGAAATGCCTTCAGTGTGGGTTCTCGGGTGCGAGCCTGTGAGCCAGATCCATGAGAGGCACAGCACAGGAAGGAAGGACAGCTAGTCTCTAGGAGAGGCTGACACAGGTGTTTGGATGAGGCCAGGACACAGAGAAAAGGCACAGGCTCAAGGACACAGGTGGGGATAACTGGAGAGAGGGGAGGCAAGTAGGACCAAGGTGCTCACCCTCCGAGCTTCACTCTGATACTTGACAGCTTTTTTGGTATCGGTAACAGCTCGCTCCACGAAACCCACTGACTGGTCCATGTTGTTCTCAATACGATCAATCATGGCTCCCTTTCCCCGGATGCAAGAGGCGGTGGCAGCAGGAGAAGAGACAGAGAGAGGAAAGAAAGAGCGAGAGACAGCGCACAACATGGACTTTTCCCTGAAGGCAGCGGGAGTCTCACCTTCCGGGCCTGGCTCTGGTATTTCACAGCTTTTTTAGTTTCATCCCGTGCCTTCTCCACGTGGTCCACTGTATGCATGACATTCAGTTCTATGTTATCTAACATCTCGCCCTGCAAAGAACAGACACCAGTCACACTCAATAACAGTCCTCCCTGCCCCAGACAGTCCTAGCTAACCCCACATCATTATCTTCAATGCTAAGGGGAGCATCCGGAAAACCTGATGTGTGACCCTCAAGAGGGCATATGCCCACCTTTCCCCTGATTTACCCATGGGCCTCCTGGCCTTGGTGGTCATCACTGAGTTACTTCTCTGTGACAGGCCCTAGGCTGGTCACCTGCAGCACACTGCCTACGTGCCTGGTATCTACATATTATAACAGATCCCACCACCATTTTCTTTAATTATACATGTGAGACAAGAAAGCGAAGTAAAAATGTCTCATGTTCTTAGAGGATTACCAGGGTCCTGGCCTCTTCCTGGTCATTCAGACCTGAACCAAGTTCATTTGGCTTAAACCGAGTTTGTTCATTACCACTGAATGATGCCTGGCACACAGTATGTATTTCATAAATATCTGAGGGTTGGAATATGTCCTTTCTCAAAGAGATATTCCCAGGCCCCTTAAGTGACACACTGGGTTCACCCAAGCTATTTGGCTAGGAAACAGTGATCTCTTAAGAAGATTCCCAACCTCAGATATAATAGCCGAGCCAATAATACCAGCAGCTATTACTTCCTGACAAGAAGTGCTTTCATTCCAATTAATTTCTAAGCACCGTAGGATGGGAATTCCCCTCACCTACCTACATCTTCCCTTAACTTGACCCATCGTTTTACGGCAGTCTGTCAACAGGGAAAGGCACTTACCATCACTTGGATCTCAAACCAGCTCCTCGGCAAGGCAATGTGGGGAGAAAAAGGAAAGTGGGGATGGAAGAACTGGCAACATGATCTCAAAGGCCAGACTGGGAGGAGGAATGCACTGAATCCTGAGCAGGAAACTGATGTCAACTGCCAGCCAGGCAGTGCGGCCAGGCAATGCTCAGGCTGCGGTTTGGTTCTGCAGTCCTTCTCCAAAGGAAGCAATTCTCAGTCCTGTCCAGCTGGCTGAGCAGCTGCAGGTTCAGTGACGATGGCACGACACCACAACACCGGGTCGTGTCTGACTATGTGAAACTAACAGTGCTCGCAGGTGATAGAGACTCGCATCCCTGCGAAGTGTGCCCAGGAACAGAACAAGCGTCCAGCTAAGCACCATTTGTGTTTCAAGTCTTTATGTAAATACTGGGCTATTCCTTTGTTATCTACTCTTGTTCCTGAGCCAAAAGTGGCAACATTTTTAGAAGAATATAGAATAAAAAACAAAAATGGAAAATAAAAATTTCTATTAAACCTAACTTTTCACCAGTGAAACAGTTCATATCAGGAGACTGTTTTAAGGCATCAACATTAAAAACCTGTATCTCTAACTTTAAAAAGCAAATAAAAATAGAACCTGAGTCCAGAGGAAACTGGGCACTTGGAAGATACTTGTAAGCCCATATTAACTAGAAATGACTGTGAGGCCAAAGTACTAGAAAGAACGAGAAGGCAGAGACTGCCCCATGTATCAGGGTCCAAGAGTGCATTCCTTTCCCTGGGATACTGGAATTCTATTTCTCCTTCAAGCAAATTCTGATGAAGCTCCTTCACCTGACTCATCATATTCCCTTCCTCACCATTTTCAGAAGTACCTGAGCTCCCCTTTTCTCCCTCCCCACACTGGTATCCGCGGCCTGTTACCTGATTCTCCACCAGCATGGCAATGTCCATAAACATGTCATGGAGTTCCTTGATGCTGCTCTCCAGCCTCACGATGTCCTTGTGCCGCCCCTCGATCTCACTGAGGGCTTGCTTGGAAATCTGAGAGTCAATGATCTACAAGAGCCCGCACAATGACAGGCCATCAGCCACCATCCCCTGCCGCAGCCCTCACACCCCCTCCTGCCCGGCTCCTCACATCCCCTGCCTCCCTGCACCTGCAGCCCACCCTTCCCTGGCTACCCAAATGGAGCTCCCAGTGCCCTCTTCTGTGGAGTGGTATACGTCCCAGCTTCCGAGTCACTCACCCCAGAAGTGAAGATGGCAGGGTTTCCACTCTCCAACATCTCCTCCAGCTCCTCATCTGTGGTCTTTTTACCAGCTTTATAACGGAAGCAGAGCATTGAATATAAGGTCAAAAGACACCATTTCAAAAGTTCCCTGAAGATTAGGAATATGGTGACTCCACTATAAAGACCATGGCTTTTACAACACTTTCCTAATAGTCTTCTGACTCATCTGTCCTCTGACTTCTCCCCTAATCTGATTCATTGTTAATATGATCACAATTATCTTCCTGAAGCATATATCCGATCACATTCTTCCCAGCTCAGAACATTACCTGGTCCCGCCGAAACCGGTTTGGCTCAATGGATAGAGCATCAGCTTGGGGACTGAAAGGTCCCGGGTTCGATTCCGGTCAAGGGCATGTACCTTGGTTGCGGGCATATCCCAGTAGGGGGTGTGCAAGAGGCAGCTGATCAATGACTCTCTCTCATGGATGTTTCTAACTCTCTATCTCTCTCCCTTCCTCTCTGTACAAAATCAATAAAATATATTTTTTTAAAAAAACATTACCTGGTCCCATCACTATGCCTCAGAGACCAAGGCCTTCAGGACAAGGAGCCAGTTCCTAGGTGAACCCTACCTGCATCCCCATTAACTTCTCACTGTTATTCCCAAATGCACACTATCCAGAGGCCCTGGACAACCTGCCATTCCTAAATACACTTGTGTGTTTTTCACAATGTCCTTGTTTCTATAGTTCTTCCACTTACAGGGCGTTCCCAGCCCCTCCACAGGGCCCTGTTCCACATTACCAAATTCCTAAAGAGCACAGCTTCATTAATGTCCTCATTCCTCACAGCAACTAGCATCACACCTTTTATTTCATAAATGGTCTTTGCTATCAAAAAGACAACAAAAAAACATTTTGAGTCCCCAGGAGAGCCATTGTTTAGCAAGTATCTCCTCTTTACATATAGGAAACACTGGCCTCCATAAAGATAAAATTGCTTGGGCCTGATAAAACACTGGGCCAACTTTTAACCCAAGCTTGGGTACAGAATATAAGATGGAAGCCATAAGCATGATTGCGGCTCCTTTTCCCCAGATCTCACAATGGGGACAGACAACCATGTGGCAGGAAAACATGCACCACCAAATTTCAGACACATACTGATTTCGAGCTGCCGCTGGATTCGCCCTTTGCTGCGTTCACGAAAGTCCACTTGAGCCTCGTTGTATTTAGTCATCACCTCCACAAACTTTCGGGAGAGGACAGAGTGCTGTGGGAAGAATGTTAAATGTAGTAAGCCCTCAGAGAGGTGAGGGATGGGGGAGGTCCCTAACTGTTGTAGAATCCCCACCTCCATCACCACCCCACATTAGCTTCCTCTCCAGCAGCACTGGAACCAAAAGACTAATATATCAGACTCGACTTTTTGGTCTTCTAACTTTACACCAATGGGAGATCCACTAATCGTTCAAAAGCCTGTCTTCAGCATGTTTACCTACCCTGCTGACCTCATGTGGTAATTGTGAGGCCAGACGAGATACTCTGTGAATCTCAGAGCCCTGTACCCACATGGACGAGGAGCATTTTTCTGGCACAACCCTTGGCGGGCTTTCTAAAGCGGTCAGATTCCCTTCCTACATCCCATACCTGCCAAAGTCCTGAATTCTTACTCAAACTCTTCTCCCCAACTCTTCTTGCTTCTAACTAGAAAAGTGAATGCATTCACTTAATAGCCATTAAGCACCACTGGTTTGAAAAATCACCAATATTTATACATTTTTCAAACCTACTACCACTGTGAAAATTCAGAAACAAAATCATTGCAAAAACCCACCTAGCCAACTTTCCTCTTGCCTCTTTCCCACTCTGAGCCAACTTTCAAACAGACTTCAACCTGAAGCAAATGCATATAGGTAATTCAATCATAATCAGATTCCCTAGAACAGTGGTTGACAAACTCATAGTCAACAGAGCCAAATATTAACAATACAATGATTGAAATTTCTTTTGAGAGCCAAATTTTCAAAACTTAAACTTCTTCTAATGCCACTTCTTCAAAATAGACTTGCCCAGGCCGTGGTATTTTGTGGAAGAGCCACACTCAAGGGGCCAAAAAACCGCATGTGACTCTCAAGCCACAGTTTGAGACCACTGCCCTAAAAAGCAAATGCTTCCTCTCTTCATGTTTGTCCTTCATCTCTACCTCACCACCATCATCACCACAGCTGCCACCAACACACACACCCACAACCCCCCACAAACATACACTACATAGACCGACACAGATTCACACACATACACACCCCGCAGACACAGACACAGACACACAGAGAGACACACACACACACCCTGAACCTCTACCTCTGAGCCTGTCTGTCCATTTGCGCACTCTTACCCATCCAAGGCTCAGCCTCCTCTGGCTACCCCCAATTCTTCACGAGGTATTTCATGCTAAGAATACATGCAATAGATTATATATTCTTACACTGCCCTCCATAACAGGTTCCTTATGCCACCTGAACATCATGCTAGTTCTTGAAGGGCAACCCTTGATGTTCACCAAAGAGCCTAACTCCAAAGGGGACAGCTAATGACAATCTTTAGAGAGAAGACTTCAGTTTCTTCCCCTGTAAAACTAAGGTGTATGAAATCCTAAGCTATGTTTTGGGAGCTCTAAGACATTATTCAGGGACCACCTTAGAGAAGGAGAGTGTGCGAGTGTCCAGGAAGGCTGGACTTCAGCCCTGTTCTCTGCTTTAACCTGGACAGCTCCTCCTTTCCCGTTCCCAATTGAGTTCCAAGTAAGAATTGCACTTAAAAAACAAACAAACAAAACCCTGAGCTAAGAAAAAAATAAATGACGAGATTGAACTAGATGATTTTTAAATCAGAGAAAGTCCTACCTGAGATTTTCGAATCCGGAGGTCTGCAGATGAGCGGACCTCGTCTTCTTCAATGTGCCTCTCCATGCCTGGAGCAAAGAGATAGATTATTCCAGGAACACACCTGCTGCTCTCCTCTGAGAAACACACTGGTCAATACACATCTCCTTGCTCCTTTTCACACACCCACCCGTGGAGATGGAGCAACAGGCAGGAGTAATCTCTGAAAGTCAGCTCAAGTGTGAGCTACAGGAGTCACAGGACTTGCATTCCACACAGTTTGCTAGGTTTTCTTTGCTGCACCTTAGCACAGCATGAGTCTTAGTCACCAAGAAACTCAGCCTCAAACCCTTGCCCTGCCACTTACTAGCTGTGTGATTTTGAAGAAGCCATTGCACCTTTCTCAGTATTCCCTCACCTATAAAATGGGATACATATAGCACCATCTTCACAATCCTGATGTGAAGATTAAATGGCACTGCGCACAGAGTGCTTGGCTCAGTGGCAAACACACCATCATTGCTACTATTGGAAGCTGCTACTATGACCTCCACCTCTACCCCCATGAAAACAAATACAGTGATTTGTTTTGAGGGGAAAAGTAATAACTTGGGCTGAACGACGCTGATTTCACTCTCTGACCAATAACATACATTCACCAAATATACTGGACAGGAATGCAACCACAGCCGTTGAACTGAGAGACCTTCTGGGCCCCCAGAGGAATTAAATCTATGACATTGGTTTCACTGAACAATGCTCTAAACTGAGGGGTGGTGCTAAGGTAATGGCCAGTGATATACCCCCAAGAAATGTCAATAGACTAAATAATTTATTGTGCATCTTATATCTCTACCATTGCTATTCAAATGTACATAGGTGCAGGGGAAACAGAGAAAGGCAGAGCCCCCTAGTGATAGCTGCCAAGTCACACAACTACTCAGTAGCTAAATGCACACGTCAATGTCTATCTACTAACTTCAATTCTGCACTCTTTCAACCACAGTCATGATCAAAAACAGATACATTTCTGGGGAGAGTGCCCAAACCATAGGCAAAGATAGAATAAGTGGCTTTGCTTCCACCGGGATGAGTTTTGATACAGAGATTTGGACCCTGTGGATGTGACACAGTTAGTGGTGGGGGCTGGTTTGTTCCCTTTACTCCCTTCTTACTCTTCAGTTTGTTCCGGACGTTGTTGGCCCTTTTCTTGATTTCAGTCGTGAGCTGCTCTAGGTCATCCTTGGTTTCTGGGTAAACAAAGGCAGGTAGGATCAGTTATAAAAGACTAATTATTAATACCCAGAAGACTAGTGTGCTCTCCATCATTAGAATCATAGAGAGCTTATTTTTAAAAGGCATTTTCCCAGGCATTCCATCCCAGACCTACAGAATAAAACCCCCCAGGGTTGAATCTCCACCATCTGTCTTTTTAGCAAGCTTTCCCAAGTAATTCTCCAGGACACAAATTTTGAGAACCTTGTTTTCAGAGGAAATAATCCAGTTTACCATGAGGGCTTCCATTCAGAAGGGAGAATAGGGTTTTTATGGGACTTCTGAGGAGAAAAGAATTCCACATTCATCAACTTAGAATCGAGCAACTATTTATGACACACCTATTGTGTGCACAATGCTGTCCTAGGAGGTATGGAGCAAAATGAGTATTAGCTATGACTACCCTACAGCACCTACTGCAAGCATGGAACTGAGCTAGAAACTGTTTTCAGAGAGAAGATATAGAGCCTGCCTTCAAGCTGTTCAGGGTCTAGTGGGGAACAAGGAACAAAAGGGACACCATTGATTACAGTTCTAATATGGAGGGAGTAAGGTGTGAGTAGTAAGGTTGGGATGGTTATGAAGAGCCCGCTAGCACAGCTGGAGGGACCTGGAAAGGCTTTTTAAAGACAGATAATAATAGGACTGTCTCGAAGAAGAACTAAGAGTTAACCAGGTTTAAAAAGAAACTAAGACTGAAGTCTCAGGGAGAAAAACAATAAGTGAAAGACCTTTGGGGACAAGAAGCATTTGGGGAACAGAGTTTGGTCTGGCTACAGTGTTGGTAACCTGGGGAAGGATGGTAAGAATGTGGCCAAGACCATGCCATAGGCTCTACTAACATGTTTCAACTTTAATCTTTAGGTAATAGAGAGTCACTGAAAAAGTTGAATAGTATCAAACTTGTTCCTTGTTCTTATGGAATCTAAAATATAACCCTAAACTTTACTCTAAAAATTTGAAATATTGAGGGGGGAAATTTTGCCTCCATGCTGGTAATGAACAGATTAGTGATGGGAGGGACTGATATGGACTTGAACCATTTTGTAAAGCTGTATGAAAAAATAATGGACTTGATCTGGTAATATTTAGCAGACAGCAGAAGCAAAGGGGCAGAGGTGGGGCTGAGATGAGGTTCATTAGAAGCAGGAAGAGTCACTGTTAGTCATGAGCAACCAGTTGGGAAGTAGAGGAGTTTCACTTCCATGAAGAGAAGAGCTGACTGTGGCTGGGCAGGGTGAGCCCAGATAGGATAAAGGAGGATGGGAGATGCTATGATGTGTACACTGGTGGAAGATAACGCATATGTATGCTGCCCTGCTATTCACAGAGGAAAGGAAAAACAAGATTGGCTCAGCCCCTATGCCAAGGGTCATCGCTCGGTGATTCATCTCTAGGTAAACACTCACTTGGTTCTGGAATTGGTGCAGACAGAATGATACTGTAGAGTTTCTTAGCCCCCTCTACATGCTCAGAGATCTTGTCAATGTTGAGCCGAGTTTCCTCGATCTATAATCAGAAAGACAACAGACTTGGTCATCAAAGAGGAAGAATACATCCATGACTGAGATAAAAGCTGAGCAGAGCTCCCAAGTGAAAGCTGCCCACCTTCTCAGTTTGTGGCAGAAGATATGACTGAAATGTCTTCTGCTACCCAGTGAGTAAATTAATCTCAGCAGAACAGTCATTGGAAATTCACACTCATCTGCACACCTTGGAGGAGAGGATTCAGAAGGATAAAGGGAACAAGAAGAGCCAGGAAACCCATGAAGAGGGATCAGAGGGAAGGGCCAACACACTTGATCAGGCATCCTTTAGCCCCCTGAGAGAATGGGAAAGGAAAAAAGAGAAAGTAGGAAAGAAATAAAAATGAGAGAGAGAGAACCAACCTAAAGAGTAAAAAATAAAGAAAGAAGAATGAGAGGAATAGTGAGACAGAAATAGAGAAAGAAAGAGACTAAGTATGACCACTTCAAGAGGCAGCTCGAGCCTTTCTCCAACATATTATGTTATACTGTACTAGAGGCCCGTGCATGAATTCGTGCAGTGAGTAGGTATCCTGCAGCCTGGAAGGCAATTAAGGCCTATCAGTGGGGCTGGCTAGCCAGGGGGAGGGACTGCAGGAGGTTGGCCAGCCAGATGCCCCCCCCCCCAACCAGGGCCAATGGGGAAGAGGTTCGGGGGAGGGCCCACGGAAGATTGGCAGGCCAGGGGGAAGGGAGAAAGGCAAGGGTAGGTTCCAGTTATTAGGTCATAACAGTTGCTTAGGCTTTTATATATATAAATAGCCAATTCCCTCATATGATCACAACCCTAAAGCTCCAGCCATGACTGCTGCACATTCCTAAGGTTCCTGATTATACTGGTATGTGTCATGAAGTATTTCCAGAAGCACTTTGTTCCCAGAGAGAACCCCAACACAGGACACTGCCTTAGAGGATTAAGAGCGTCAGCCCCTCTTCAAAGGCACAAGCCACCCCTGCCCCCTGGCTCCCTGGGCCCCTGGCCCCCTAGCCCCAACTGTGATGAAAGCCACTGAGCGGGGAGCAGCCTATGCTGAAGAGACTTGAAAACCCAACTCACCTACCTGCCTCACTTCCAAAATGAGGGGCATATCAACGAGGCAACAATTAACAAACATAAATTATGTAAAAAGCCATACAGGAGGATCTGAGTATCTGAGATGCAACCAAAGTACATCTCACCCAGTGGGGTAGCTCAGTGGTAGGGCATCGCCAGGATGCAGGCTCCATCCCCAGTAGGGAGTGAGCAGAAGGCAGCTAATTAATGATTCTCTCTCACCATTGATGTTTCTATCTCTCTCCCCGCACCCCTTCCTCCCTGAAATCAATAAAAATATTTTCTAAAGACATATATCTCAATTTGCTGCTTTCAGAACTCCTTTCTTCCATAAATAATTATACCTGATGATATCTCTCCAAATTGCATAGAACATGGGAGAAATAAAACTTTAGTTCTTGAACCCCCAAATTAGTATTTTTGCTACTGGATCAGGGGTCTTCTCCTCTATAAATACTGGCCTTGATGGACCATAGTTGAAAGAAATAAAATAAAATTTCAATGCAATATTATCAGAGTATATATACAAATGTAAGTAGCAGCCCAAACTTTTGTCAGTTTAACAATTGGCAAAACAATCCACAGTACTGCATTAGTACCTTTATTCAAATGAGGAATCTAAATGTTGGTGCTTTCCAGATTCCAGCTAGGATGCTTTTTTCATTAGATCTAAGATTTGATGATTGGCTTTTCATGTTTAGCAGAATCCCAAGGCTCTGGGACTATAAAAATGGCCTATGTCATCACCTGTGAAATCAGGCAGCCTCAGCAGTGTAACCACCTCAGAATCAGGCCCTCGGGTGACCAGAAATTGCCACCTTTTCCTAACCTTCCCCTTTATATCTCACATTGAACACTGGCTCCTCTTAATAACTCATAAAATGTCATTGCACCACACCAGATTCCCATTTCCATCACATAACTGTCTTGCCAAAACAATTGCATTACATAAACAGGACTGAGAAATGGCTTTCTAGAATAAAGTGCACTAACCATGGATAAATGAGCTTGACATATTTTCACTGGTTAGATTTTTGCATGTTCCATGGATTGGATGTTTTAGAAAATATATCCTGAAATTTTATTTCACAAACTGAAGAGCATTGTGACCCAAAGTTTGGTAAATGGTATAAAAAACATGACAGGGAGCTGCTAGGATGTGATGGCTGGGCCTCAAGCTCAGAGTCACTCTAAACATTTAGATACTGGATAGGAAATGGCTTGCCCAGTCCTGTGGATGGGAGAATAGGTGTGCTCCATCCTCAATCTGCCTGCAGGACTTCCTGGGCCTGAGGAGCATGTACCTCCTCTCCTTCCCTCTGTCCTCAACAACCTCACCTCTTGGAGGCATTTCAGAAACCGACAAAAATTTAGTCCATGCACTAAATAATCACCCTTCAGAACTTCAGGATGGGCAACTGGCCAGCCACAAAAGCCATTTCTTTTTATCCACAGTTTGTATCCAATGCAAATCAATTCCATAACATAAGAAGTTACTACAAAGCAAAGCATAAATACACAAATGCATTATATACTCCAAAACAGATGTACAGCATTCAGGGAGGAAACAAAAGGGAATGTTTGTTCACATATGCAGTAGCTAGAAATCTGCTGGGTATAGTGTTCCTGCTAAAAAAAAAAAAAGGGGGGGGGGGGTACAAATGACTTTGAGTATCAAGACTACTATGGCCATATTAAATAGTGGAACACTTAAGCATCCGTGTGTGACTGTGAGAACAAGACTTAGGGAAGTATCTGTTTTCAAAAAGGTTCTTGCACCAAGGCAGTTGTGAAAAGATACACTTTCCAGAATCAAGGCCACATTAGATTTTGGCTCAGGTTCTAAATATCTACAAATATGGGAAGCTTTCTTCTTTTGAACTTTATTGTCTTTATTTTTTTTCTTGGTTTTCCTCAGAGGTGACTTCCGGGTATTCCACAGTGGCAGCTACATGCAATTGATTTCCTTTTGTGCATCTGCCAGATAACAAAAAAAGTACGGTGTTGGGAGAAGGAGCCCAGGAATCAGGAACCTAGGAGGAAATCTACAGGTATGGAACCTAATGCTCAAGGCTATTTGTGTGTTTGTTTGGGGTTGACATTACCCAGCACAATAATATATTTAGGGACTAAAACTGCTTTAACATGTACCTATATCAGAAACAAGGGCCTTCACAGGATGTCTGTGAAGTCACCGTCACTTTCTTCCTTTTATGCATGAGAACACTGTGGCTCAAAGAGAGAGAGAAACTCACCTAAGGCCATGGTGCAGAAATGTGAAAACAAGGTTTGAATGTTGGCATCTGTTAAACCCTGTCTCCTGAACCAGGTAAAGGTGCAAGAACCACCTATGGGAGGCTCCTCTGCCAGGTCCATGCTATCATCAGTGAGTGCATGCTGTGTGAGAGGGGCTTAGTGGCCTCTCACTGAGATCATCTGCCACATTTCTTTGTTCTCTAGCCAATGCTCCCCTATGGAGAGCTTTTTACACAACTGTGCTCATGAAACTCTGCCAATCTAAGGAACCAATCAGATTTTTTTTCATCGCCGTGCTAAATTTGTAGCTACCCTGTTTCCCCGAAAATAAGACAGTGTTTTATATTAATTTTTTCTCCCAAAGTTGCGCTAGGTCTTATTTTTAGGGGATGTCTTATCTTTCCATACGCTAGGTCTTATTTTCGGAGGATGTCTTATTTTCAGGGAATATGTCCTTAATGCCTGCTTATTGTGTGTTACTTTTTTAAATGTATTTTTCAGCAACGTGGAAAACAAGTTAGAATCAAATTCAACAAGTTCAAGGTTTGGCTCTATCAGCAGTTTTGTGACTTTGAACAAGCCACTTACCACCACCCCCCGCCCCAGTTCTCTCACCAGTGAAATGAAGATTATCATAGTTTCCACTTCCTAGAGGTTTTGTGGGGTTTAAATGAGATAATATAAGTCAAACACTTCACACAAAGTATATGCTCAATAAGATAAATGATGGTGATGATAATCTATAATAATAAAAGCATAATATACTAATTAGACCGGACTCCTTCCAGATGAAGCCAGGGCTGCCCTGGTCCCAGGTGCCTGCCAGTGGCCGGAGGGAAGCCTGGGTCCCGGGTGCCAGAGGGAAGCCAGTGCCAGCAGCCAGGGGAAGGAAGGCCTATGCTTGCACAAATTTCGTACATCAGGCCTCTACTAGAATCATAACCAACAATTACTGCACACTTATTATATGCCAGGTCCCATGCTGTGCCTACACAAGGACACCTCATTTATCCTCATGACAATCCTAATAGTAACAAAATGTTGGGTGATGTTGTCAGGAGCCATCCAAGGAAATCAAGTAAGGACAGCGAGTCGACCAATCCTCAAATGTCTACCTCATGGAACAAATTATAATAGCACAGTATACTAATCACCATCATCTAACTAAAGGGAGGGGGGGTTATCTTCAAGGCATGGATGGCCTCTTCCCTCTGGAATTAATTAGCCAGTGGAATTTAATTAGACATAGAAAGCAGAGAAAGTATCACTTTGGAGAGCCGGCAGGTGTCGTGGCCTAGGGGAGAAGGCTTTGTCCATTCTACCTACAATGTCTCTGTCTCCCCTAACTTCCCATGTACCTATACCTGAAGTTAGGCATTAATTCCTCATATTTATTTATTTAAAATGTATTATGTGCCACCCCTCTAACGTGACAAAAGTAATGGAGTTGAAGAGTCACATAATAATTCTTCCTTTTCACAATTCATTAATTTCCTCAAAAATGGTATAATCCAAAATAGTTCTCATATAAGGATTCTCAGTCAAATCCTCTTTGATTTCTTCTTCTTCTTCTTTTTTTTTTTTTTTACAGAAACAAAGGTGATTTTTTTTTTAGAAAGAAAAAAAAGCCTCATTTTAATACAATAAGAGAATGTGAGAATGTACATCAAACT